GGCTCCAGTTTAATATGTGTACACTATTGCTATTAGCACGTGGACTAAGTACTGAAAGGTGGAATTTTGGCAATGTGGCTATAGCTTGAAGAGTTTCACAAAACTTGATGAAACCCATTACCAACTCCATTTGTGCTGTTTTATGTGTCCTTGAAAATCCTTTTAAAATGGTATTTAGGGGTCGAATTTACCATTGTGCTAACCATACGTAAACCTGTACCACGGGAATTATAGGTGACCTTAGTTATATAATTGACAACAGATGAAACAAATTAGAGACTATTCTGTAAACGTTTCTTTGGTTGCAAATTACATCACTAGTAGCAGTTGTAATTCTTTCTTTTCCCAATGTGCTTGCAATACAGTACAATACTATACAAATTTACATTTAAATTGTGATTTTCACGCTGGGAGGACGTCCCAAGGCACTTACACATTAGTTAGCACAACATGCAAATTAGCCCACTTAGATAAGTTTGCTGTCTTATACTGAAATACTGAAACTCCTATTCTTTATCGGTTTCAGGGAGGTCACATTAAAACAAATATTTACGCCTCAAGTCATTTTTTCTGTTTCAGTATTCTCCTGTCTGTGAAATAAGATGTTTGAACTGATAAGTTAAAGTGGAATTTTCTCTGAATCAGCTGAAAGCCCAGGGTGGTCTGCATTGAATAAGATGCACTGTAGAGAATCTCGCTCCCATTTATAGTAAAAATAATTTGAGCTCAAATAAAGCACGCTCTGCACCTGGATACCACAAGCATTCACCTGCACCAATTGGAAGACAACCTCTTTGCCTCTGGCATATTTGCTTTATATTCACAGTAGGCAGTATTTTATCAACCATATATACTGTCATATTCTTTATTCCTCCAAGTGTCAGCTGCATTACCTTACTGAAGGACATTTGGGATGCATTAAACTCACCCATTAATTCTCACACTATTACCCATATGAGCAAATTTTAAACATTACAATTCCCTGTCCTGTTTAAGCTTTTACAAGAAGCATGATGACATTTCCCAATTTCTCAATTTCCTGCAAATGGAACGATGCCAAATCCATAAAAACACATTTCGGAGAGAAAAATTAAAAAACTCCAACAGGACAAGACAAACTAATTCTAGCTAGAAGCTCAACATGTTCCCACATCTTTTCCCACAATAATAATTTGGTAACTCAACTCACAACTGTTTGTGGGACACTGTTGTGTGCAGTTGACTGCTGCGTTTCACCCACAAATATACAGTCAATTCACTTTACAGTATATTCTGTGAAGCAATTTAAGACATCTAGAAGACGTGAAAAGCGCTATATCAAATGCAAGTATTATTATTTTCCAATTAGATATTATTTGAAGCAAATATTTCATTCAGTCTCCATTAGCAAGGTGGTGACAATAATCATATTTACCTACTGTTTGTAGTGGAGTTTTCACATAGAAATAATTTTGCAATATGAATATAGAAGTGTAAATAGCACCTCAACACCAGAAAAAGTGGTTATTAAAGAATCCCATTATGAATCAGCACAATCTAGGCCCCATGAAGTTCACCACCTGCTGCCTCAACCAAACCCCCTCCACCTGCTTGCCTCGACCCCCTCCTCACCCAACTGCTGGTCACTCAACTCCCCCTCCTCTCCCGCTGATCAGTCTCTCTCCTCAGGCTCTGTTCCATTCTCCCCAAAAAACGCTGTTATTACACCCCCCCTCCTCAAAAAATCCATCCTTGATCCCTCTAATCTCAGATACTACCATTCCATCTCCAACCTACCCTTCCTTGCCAATGTCCTGGAACGCATCGTTACAGATCATCTTTGTCATACTTCTCCCTCCAGTCCCTCCTCGAGCCACTGCAGTCTGGTTTCCGTCCTGCCCCCAGCACAGAGACAGCGCTTGTCAAAGTCACAAACGACATTCTCTCTATCTGTGACCAGGACTTCCTCTGCCTCCTTGTCCTCCTGGATCTCTCTGTCACATTCAACACAGTCGACCACGCCATCCTCCTCCAATGCCTCTCCTCCCTCATCTACCTTAGTGGGACCGCACTCGCATTGTTCGATTCCTACTTAATCAACCGCCTCCATTTCATCTCAGCAAATGGTTTCTCCTCCCGCCCCCCACCCGGTCACCTGTGGGGTACCCCAGGGCTCCATCCTTGACCCTCTTCTTTTCCTTATCTATATGCTCCCTCTAGGCGATGTCATCCGCAGACACGGGGTAAACGTCCACATGTATGCGGATGACACACAAATCTACTTTGCCTCCTCCAGCAACGACTCCAGTTCCGCTGATGTTCTATCAGCTTGTCTGGCAGACATCAAGGCCTGGATGAGCGTAAACTTCCTGCAGCTGAATGTGGACAAGACAGAAGCCATACACCTTGGTTCCTGTCAACGTCTTCACTCCTGCGGATCTGAACTCCTCAACCTCCCTGGGTTCTCTCTCAGACTTACCAAACCAGTGTGCAACCTAGGCATCCGGTTTGACCCCCAGCTGACTTTCCTCCCCCACATCCAGTCCCTGACCAGGACCGCCTTCCTCCACCTCCGCCACATTGCCCATCTCTGACCATACCTTAACCCAAATGCAGCAGAAATCCTTGTGTATGCGTTTGTCTCCTACTGCCTGAATTACTCAAACACACACCTCGTCAGTCTCCCCAGCTCCACAATTCAAAAAATTCAGCTCATTCAGAACTCTTCTGCCCGCATACAGACCCAAACCAAACTCCATACCCACATCTCACCAGTTCTGGCCAGGTTCCACTGGCTCCCCATCACTGAACGGATTGACTTCAAGATCCTCACATTCGTGTTCAAATCCCTTCACTCCCTGGCACCTCCCTAACTCTCTGACCTCCTCACTCCCCAAACCACCACCTGGTGTCTCCGCTCGACTGGCACCGGCCTCCTGCCTCTCCCTCGCACCCTCCACTCCACCATTGGATGTTGCGCTTTCAGCCACTACTCCTCGAAACTCTGGAACATTCTCCTCAATCCCTCTGTCTTGCCCCCCTCCCCCTTTTTCAAATCCCGCCTGAAAACCTTCCTTTCCGACTGTACGGTCACCTCTCCCACCTCTCACCCCCCATACCCCGCCACCCACCGCCTCAGAGTCAGACTCCGCCACTGTTAAGCACTCTGAGACACTACCCTTTGTGGAGGGCGCTCTATAAGCGCAAATTGTTGTTATTGTAATTTCCCCTGATGTTGCATCTTCAATTTCACTTAAACTGCTGGAGGATACAGGACCAATTGTATCTTTGTCAACAGCAATTTTCTCCATTTGTCAATAATTTTATCATTAAGCTCCAACATATTCTGTTGCAGCAAAATATCTTTACCTAATCATAAAGATACCTGATAATGCCAGATTGCATATAGCTATATGGAAGCATCCTTAGTAGTCAATCCAAATCAGAAGCAATTCCTTGTTTGGTCAATTTAAGCAAAGAATTGAGCAAATGTCTTACAAGGTTTCTTCCCATTTTTTGAGATTTGCCCTGTGATTTATATAGCCATTATGACAAAACAAGCTAAAATGTGCTTTGTATAGTCCACAATCAATATTTCACCTTCATTGCCCATTCCCATAAACAATTCTGATTGAAGTGGAGCCTTGAATATTTATGTAAAACTGTATGTAATTTCACATTTTGTGTACTCAGACACATTTGTGCAGATGGCACAATAACATCACTCCTTTGTAAAGTTCAGTTTACAAAGAGTGGAGGAGAGCCTCCTCTCCTCCACTCTCGATTCCCTCGATCCCCTCTCTTCCCGAACCGTCTCCTACTCACACAAATCACTTTGGTACACCAGCCACTTCTGCTCCCTTAAAGCCCGGGCCCATTCCGCTGAGCCCATCTGGCTTAAATCAAACCTAATTTGACTGGACCATGTCAATTCCTACCGCTGCGCCCTTGCCTCTGCTAAATCATTGTTCTACTCCAAGACAATCTTGGAGGCTAAGGAACAACCCCAGGCTCCTCTTCTCCAACACGAACCGGCTCCTCCGCCCACCCTCTCACGCTTCACCCATCTTCACCTCAAATGCCAACTGCGAGGCGATGCTGGACTTCCTCGAATCCAAAGTCGAGGGAATCCGCTCAGCTGCCTCTGCATCTGCTAACCCCTCCCCATCTCCTCCTCTCACCCCGGCCCCTACCCACCCCTCCCTCCACAACTTTGAACCTGTCTCCCCATCCTCTCATCGTCACCATAACCTGTATGAAACCCACCACCTGCCCCCTCGACCCCATCCCTACCCCCCTCCTTACTTCCCAGCTCCACCTCCTTGCCCCACTACTCACTGACATCATCAACCTCTCCCTGACCTCTGGTACTGTTCCCACTCCTTTAAAAACCGCTGTCATCACTATCCTTAAAAAACCATGCACTGAATTTTGTTACATAGCGACCTAATAAATAAAGATTGAAACCCAGGCAAAGAGGTACAAATCATCATTTATAGCAACGACAGTATGAGTAATTCCTGTTTGGAGGTTAAATATAAATAACTACACACAGAGAAAATGTCACATTATGCTTAATCTTTACAATAAAGGCTGATGTAAATGTCCTTCCCATGATTTTAAACTCACCCTCAGTACAATTCCATTACCAACACTCAGAATTTATATATTGCAGGTTGTAAAAAGCCACAGGAATTTTGGACAATTTTACACAAAGTTTTAGAAGTTCCTAACAAGTATTCCATCTAAATGATGTCTATGAGACAAGCATAAGAGGAGTATGGTTTTAGCTGGCAAAGTTACTTTGCAGAAATGTTAACACAGAGCCTAATATAATACATGGATTGGTTTCTAGTTGGTATGCATGGACAGCTACTGGCTGTTCTCACTTGGTTATCACAGCTCTATGCACTGATGTAATCTTATTTATATAAATGCAAAGCATTTTCAGAAAAAGAGCTCCCATCCACTTAGCGAAATATTATGAAGTATTTTTCCTTTGCCTTCTGGTTATGTGACAGCTGGCTGAGGTCGAAGGGTGTAACGCAGAACTCGGGGACCAGGTAATGTGGTTGGAAGAGGAGGTGGATACTGCAAGAAAGAAGCTAATGGCTAAAGAATCATACGAGGAAACCCTGAATGCCAAAGACCAGGTACATTAGACATTTTTGAACACACCTCTTATTCCAAAGGCAAACCGTGTCATTTGAAATCTAAATTGCATTGACAGCTGCAGGCGAAGTGCCCTGTAGCATGGAAAGCACCTTAGATCGAAAGGTGCTTAGATTGAAAAGATCTGATATAAATTTGATTCCGACCCGTGAAATGTTTATTGTACTATGGTCTACAAAATAAAATTTCATGAGCGAACATATACACTTTAAAATATAATAAAACATAAAAAGTCAAAATTTAGATAGTTAGTGCGCAGAAGAGAATTTTTGAAGTAAAGTGATTATTACAAAGTTTGAGACATTTTGCACTTCGCCACAGAATAGAATGCTGCAGGTTTTGTTTCTGTGCGGCCTGGTTTGACTGGGACATCTGAGAGACATTCACAGGAGGGAAGGCTATTCGCCAAAGAAAGGGGCAGAACATTTTGAGGATTGCAGTTTAGTCCAGTGCACATTTGTAGAGTGGCAATGACTGTGGTCTGACACTTTATGAGATGTCACATCAGCTGAAGTGGTTTCTTGAGTCCTTCAAATAACTGTATAGAATTACAGCACTTCTTAGACAATCAACATCTGAAGGAGAGAGTGAGGGTAAAGTTTTTGGTATAACTTTTCACCAATATTGATGCCTAAACATTCATTTTCAGTCAGATGCTGATTGATCTGCAACAGAATTGCTACAATTGCATTTACCTGGAGGAATGCACTGCCACCTTGTGGTCATTTTCAGCAACATTAATTAACACAATGCAAGGTTTAACAATCACAAACTTTACTCTGAAGTCTTTGATCTCTTAACTAAATCTTGAAATAAAGAAGAAAAGAGGCAATTTATGGCATAATTGCTGGCTGTGAGTCTGTGCTTGTTTTGTGCCAAAAATGGCAGCAATAAAATAGCTACCGACTGCAAACTGCCAGTGACTAAATGTAAGAGATTAAATTTGGTGTTAGAGTTAGCAGCAGTTTTAGCTTTGGGTTTCATGTTTGTCCATATTAACTAGCCTCTGTCCACACTGCTCTGGTTCTTTGAGTCTTTGAGCTCATCTTCTTTGAGATATTAATTTATTCCAAAATATTGCAACAAATGGGGGACAACATTAGTAATTTGAAAAGCCTCAAGTCCAAACATTGAAGATTTCAAATTCAATCTTGTGCGATTTAGTTATATAAGTTACATGTAAATGCTTTTGAAGCTATACTTTGTTTGCTCTTGAACTGTGAATTTTAAACCATGCCATTAATCAGCACCTGTTATATTAATATCCTGAGGAACCCAATTTGGAAAATAGATATTTTTACAGGTGCAGAGCATAAAAGAGGTAGGTCTGAATGCATACAATGTGATGAGACGAGTATACTCTTAACTGTGTGTTGAATGGTTTAATATTTATGAGAGAAGGTAAATTAGAACAAATATTTTCATATTATTGCCCTCTGGCATAATAATAATAATGATCCTTGCATTTGATATAGTGCTTGATAACGTCTTCGAGATGGCTCAAAGTATATACTGTAAAGTGAATTGGCTGTATATGTTATGCGCAAAACGCAGCAGGCAATTGCGCACAGCAGTGTCCCACAAACAGTCATGGATTGAAGTGATCAAATTATTATTTTTTTGAAGGAATTGTTGCCCCTAGAAAAGCCAATTGACTAGCACCCGGGTTCCTACTAAACGGAGGCATGTGTGTGGAATAAGGAAACTTCCCCAAGACTTTGCCCTGCCGGGAATTGAACCCAGGTCTCTCGCTTGCGAGGCGAGAGCTCTAACCACTGAGCTACAGGACTGCAGTAAGGTAAATGAGCAGCATTTGAACTTTTCAATTAGGAAAGGAATGTTTTGAATGTAAGATGGCTTCACTTCCTGCATAGAGTTCAACCATTTGGGACTAGAGATGAAGCTTCATGTGGTGACTTTATTTTGCCTCATTTTCCATTGACTTAACAAGTGTTAATTCCACTCTTAATGTTTATACCTGATAATAAAAAATTGTTTACTACTAAAACAATTAGTCAACAGTTGACAAATTTATCATCGACTAAACATTTTTAATTATACATGCAATGAGACAAATTAGATAAATGAGAAAATTCAGTGTTGTCAACATTCCAATCAATGAATTAACCATCATCAACACCTTCATATGTGGAGCTCAAGTAAGTCAATTATAATGAGACTGAAGGGAATATTCCAAGCTGTAAAATGCAATGCCACTACAAAGTTACATTCATATAGTGCTTTTCATGTCGGGAGGATGTCCCAAGGTGCTTAACAATCCAGACTTGGCATCCGAGCTGGCAATGGGAACCGAGAGGGGTAGGGAGGGGAAAGATGAGCAAAAGGCAATGTTGATCAGTAAATTTACCAACCTTGAGCATTTCTAATGAGATTTATGCCCCAATGAAGTTTTTTTTAATGTAGCTTTGTCTATACTGAAACAATACAGTATGACTTACATTTACGTTTTTACAAATCGCCCTTCAACATGGACATTTTTCAACTAGCACATCCTTTAGTGACTAAATCATAATGAACCGTTGCTACAAATATTATATTAAGAAGGTTATCAGATCTGGAGCTTTAGGATCCATTTTTTAAAGGATGTCTATTGATACAAAGCTTTCTAGAAATAGCTGCATAAGAAATAATCTGATACTTAGCAGTTGTTCAAGAGAGAGGGATAGTAATCATCCAAATTCAAATAGGGTGAACTGTATAATAATGATAAAATATGCACAATGCCAGATTGACCGCGGCTTGTCTAGAATGCATGTCTCTAGACTTATGGACCTGTTTTCTTCACTGCAGTACATCCTGAGGTTAGAAGGAGAAAATAAAGCCATTCAGGAACAAATAAGGCAGTTAGTAAGTAGATACATTTTGATACAAATCTATTTAACATCTCTATTCATATCAGCAAACTTCTTCATGATCCTGCTTCACTCTCCAATCTCCAATCTCCTCCATCCTTATTCTCCCCAAATTCCTACACTCTCTATTCCTGTCTTCAAAACCGTTTGAAAACATCTCCTTGACCACGCCTTTGTTCAATGCTCTTACGGTTTCCCTTCCTCCGCCCTAGGATCTCTGTGAAGTGCTTTGATACATTTATCCTACAAATGGGTGTAAGATGCTTTATAGTTTATTAAATGCAGTAGTTTGTGGTAGATGCAAAGTGAGATATGTATCTGTATCAATCATTCTCAATGCTACTGTCTGCAAAGCTGGGCTGCGCATTCAATTTCCAGTACGGCGATAAGCAACTTTTTAACAAGTGTCTTCTACAAAGAAGTAGGTCTGGAGTCCATGTCCTCTCCTCCACCAGACCCCACGAGCACATCCTCGTTCAGCTCCATTGGCTCCCCATCCCCTGGCAATCGAATTGAAGATCCTCTTCCCCAAATTCAAATCCCTATATAACCTTATCTCACTCTACCTCCTGACCGCCTGCTCCCTTCACTCGGCTAGCATCAGCTTGATTCATGTTCCCCACCGATCCATCCCACCACCGACCAGCGAACAAGCTTTCCAAAATTTTGTTCCTGCTTTCCGTTTCACTCCTTCCTCCCGCTACCCCCCTTTCAAGTCCGCCTAAGGTCTATCTTTTCAATCGCAGTTTTAGTCATCTTTCTCCTGCTCCACTTTCCTCAGCTTGTGTGATGCACTTTGAGATGTCCCACTGACGTGAGAGGCATTGTGTGAATGTAAACCCAGCCACTGTCAGATTGGGGAGTGGGTTATTTCCTGCAGTCAAATGCTAGAGCGACAGTGGGGCAAAAACAGCTCTTTCAGCCAATGCGTGATTAGATCCTACTCAGTCTGCATATAATAATAATTCTTGCATTTGATATAGCGCCTTATCACGTCTTCGAGACATCTCAAACTGCTTAAAGTGTATATTTTATGGGCGAAACTCGGCAACCAATTGCGCGCAGCAGTGTCCCACACAGTCGTGGATTGAGTGACCACATTTTTTATATTATTTATCAATGTTGTGTGATCTTGCTTTTGTTTTAATTTTGATCAAGAAACGGAATCAGAACAGAAAGGTGAGGAACCTGCAGATTCAATTGGCTCAGGCCAAGCAAGATGCTGCCCTAACTCTGATGCAAGCAAAGGAGAGTATTCAAGAGCTGGAGGAAATGATTCAGCTCACTAGGGGTCAGTATAGTCAGTATAATAATGGGCAACAGCCTCTGTGTGTAAGTACATCTGCTCCTGCTTAACAAGGCTTGTTAGGACTCTGCCACAGGCTCCTGCTGTCTTGTGTCTAAACCTGTTGAGAGTCAACTATCCTTGCTGACTATTCGTGGAAACAAACATTATGATTGCATATCTTTTCCGTGGTGCTGTCAGGATCTTTTATGTAAGGAAGGTCAGATGATGATTTCAGCCAGCAATGCAAATGAAAATCATCCTTGCATTTGATATAGCGCCTTATCACATCCTCGAGATGTCTCAAAGCGCTTCACAGAAAATACTGTAAAGTGAATTGACTGTATATTTTGTGGGCAAAATGCAGCAGCCAATTGCGCACAGCAATGTCCCACAAACAGCCGTGGATTGAGTGACCAATTTATATATTCTTTGAAGGAATTATTACCCCCGAAAAAGAGATCCGCTAATCGTAACAACCAGGTTCCTACTTACTGCTAGGTAAACAGAGGTGTGTGGAGTAAGGAAACTTGCCCAACCTTTCGTACTGCCGGGAATCGAACCCAAGTCTCTCGCTTGCGAGTCAAGTTAACCACTGAGCTGCAGGACTCCAATGAGTGTAAAATTATTAAGAAATCGACCTAAGAAAAAAAATTTAAATAGGAAAATGAAAATACAAATTGCTAAAACAGAAAATAGGACAGAAAATATTTTTAAGAATTGAGGAAATCAAATATAAAATCAAATTCTGCATACACAGAGTGAAGCCTCATTGTTTTGCAGTGGTTAAGGTCTGTATTATGTTCAGTGCTATAACAGGGTGCTTCCACATGAATTACGCTTGAGCACTTGAGAAAATAATCCTTAAAAACCCTTGCATTTGATATAGCGCCGTCTCACATCTTCAAGGCATCTCAAGATGACTGAATTTTTAGGTGAATGCAGCACACAATTTCCGCACAACAACATAATAGTAATACAGTACTCACATTTGATATAGAGTCTTATCACATCGTCGAGATGTCTCAAAGCGCTTCACAGGATATATTGTAAAGTGATGTTGTTTTGTATAAATGGAAGCCACTTAAGCCGGATATATCAGGGCCGGCCTTTAAGTCTGACTTAAGCAGAGTCCGAGACTAACCAAAGTTTCCTTTGCTGAAATGCAAAATTGTTTTGTTATTTGGGCCCTTCATTTGCCGCAATATAATACAATGAATTTGTCATTTGTCTTGGACTGGCGAATACTAACATAATGCGGTGCCTGGGTATATACAAAGCTGAATCAGTTTTTCAGCAGTATGAGTCAAAGAATGTTGATGCAGCTACCAACATACACTTTATTAAGAAAATTCACCCTAAATTTTGCAAGTCAGGGGTCAAACAATTAACTGTGGTCTAATAGTAATAATAATAATCCTAGCAGTTCATCTAGCATCTAATCACGTCTTTAAAACATCTCAAAAGGCTTCACAGCATTTACTGTAGAGTGCAGTGCCTGTGTTTATTGTAATGTTGAGTCAATTTGCAAACAGCAATGTCCCACAAAGAGCCATGAAGTGAAAGATCAATTTTATCTGGGGAATTGCTTGGTAGGACATCAAAAGAAACTTCCTTCTCTTTGCAAATAGTGCCATTTGATCTTTAACGTCCACTTGAAGTGCTCTGGGAAGCTACCCTACACGAGAGGCGCTATATAAATGCAAGTTGTTGTTGTTGAACAGGCAGATGGGACATCAGTTTAAAATCTCATTTAAAGAATGATACCTCCAACAATGTAGCACATCCACAGTACTGAATTAGAGCGTCAGCATAGACCATGTCAAAGTCCTGACATGTTGGGCTTGAACCCACAACCTTCTGACTCACAGATAGGAGTGCTACCAACTGAACCAGACTGACACCTTCATTCATAAAGCTACTGTTGAAAAGCAATGTGACAAATTATGTCCTGCAATAATGTCAGAGTTCACAGCCTGGCAAAATGCCATTTATAACAGTGAATGTAGGAAGCCAGCATTTGCTCTTAAATCAAAAGCAAACCTAAACAAAGGATCTGCCGACCACAAAACATTGTGTACTGCAATAAAGAATCTTGGGGTGCATTTACAAGGTCAGTCAAGCAAAAGAGGAAAGCTGTGAGACTTTTCATAAACTCTACAAACCACTTGAAGCTAGTGAATAGTGCTGAATGAATGCACTGAGGCCTTGGATGAAGTAGCGTTGCTCACAGACAGGTTGCAGGCCATACTAGCCAGCACAGTAGCTGATGATTCCTTCCAGCTGGCTCCCCCTCACTTTCTAAGTCCCTTTGGTAATTCTCTGGATCAAGGGGGAGCTCTGTAACCACTTAACATGGGTAGTTGGAGAATACATTTAAATGTTACTGATGCAAATGTAGTCTATTTCTTCACTGAAAGTTCATTGCAAAGTTGAATGCAAAGCAAACAGGCTTTTCTGTTGTATGTAAAATAGCATTCCACAAAAGTGCAGCATTTATTACTGGGATTTCTTGATAAGGAATCCAAGCCACTCAAATGGTTACTGCTTCCGGTAACAAAAAGAACAGCATTCCAACTGACAGAAAGGCTGTTTCGACCTGGACTAGGTCTGTAGTGAAGGTCTTGCAGGTTAACAGGAATTTGAACGGGATTACAGATGAAGTAATCCCAGCCCACATCACAGAGACAAATGACGTCCTCGCTCTCTGTGACCAAGGTTCCCTCTGCCTCCTCGTGCTCCTGGACCTCTCCGCTGTATTTGACACAGTTGACCACGAAAACCTCCTCCACCGCCTCTCCTCCCTCATTCACCTTAGTGGGACCGTACTCAAGTGGTTTGATAGCTACTTAACCAGCCACCAGAACTTCATCTCAGGCAAAGGTTTTTCTTCCTGCCCCGCCCGGTCACCTGCGGTGTACCCCAAGGCTCCATCCTTGGCCCCCTTCTCTGCCTCATCTATATGCTCCCTTTCGGTGATGCCATCCGCAGACATGGGGTCAACTTCCACATGGATGCACATGACACCCAAATCTTCGCCTCCTCCTCCAGCTCCAACTCCCAGTCCTCTGATGTCCTGTTAGCTTGTTTGACAGACCTCAAGGCCTAGATGAGCACAAATTTCCTGCAGCTGAATGTCAGCAACTCCTCAACTTCTCCGGGCTCTCCCTCAGACTCTCTGAACCAGTGGGTAACTTAGGCGTCAGGTTTGATCCTTGGCTTTCCTTTCTACCCCACATCGTTCCCTGACAAGGACCGCTTTATTCCACCTCCACCACATTGCCCGCCTCCATCTGTACCTTGCAACCGACGTAGCTGAAACCCTTGTCACTTCCTGCCTGGACTATTCCAATGCCCTCCTCGCTGGTCTCCCCAGCTCCACCGTACACAAAATTCAATGAATTCAAAACTCTGCCGGACGGATACTCACTCGCACAAAACTCTGTACCCCCACCACACCAGTCATTTCCAGGCTCCACTGGCTCCCAATCACTGAACGGATCAATTTCAAGATTTCTGGAACTTTCTTCCTCAATCCCTCTGCCTTGCCCCCTCTGCCTTGCCCCCCCCACTTTCAAATCCTGCCCAAACACCTTCCTTTTTGATCGTGCTTACAGTCACCTCCCTCTTCCCCTGGCTCATTGTCAGACTCTGCCACGGTCAAGCCCCCTGGGACGCTACCCCGCATTAAGGGCGCTATATAAATGCAAGTTGTTGTTTCAAAATACCCCCAAATTAGACCCCACATTGTGAGTAAATCAATAATTTCTGTTGCGGGTTTTTAGTCTATGTTCCTCGAATCTCATATCTTCAACATGACCCCATGCTGCCTGTGTCTGAGGACATGTGTGCTGAAAATGTGGACATGCAGATTGTTACATTTATTGCCCTTCTGATGTTTGCAGATAAAAGAATCAACGCAAGGGGTTGCAAAGGAGACCTTGGCATTGACACAGAGCCCAGCAGTGAGCACGTGGCTGAAGATAAAAGTCACATACGACTTGTGCTTGAGCTGTCCAGCCAATTAGCTGAACAGCAAGAGAAAATTCGCCTTCTGGAGAGGAGCTTACAGGAGAGAGATGAGCAATTGCGAGCACTTGAAGCACAGCACCCCACACAACCAGCTGGGGGAGCTTTGGGACCCAAAATGCTGCAGACTGACTTACGATCGTCACCCGGCCACAGAGCCTGTTCTACGGTCAATGGTCAAAGGGTAGCAGTGTCACTTGGGACGGAATGCGTCTCTTCACGCAAACCACCGAGTGGCAGAAAGGCCAAGCGCAGCCCGATGCTGAGGCTCAAGGAGGTTAAAGATACTCATTCAAAGTTGCTGGAAAGTAGCACATCACCAAATAAGATGAGTGACTATGCGCTTGTTTCATCCCCGAGGATAGGATATCCATGACAACACATGAGACGGATGTGCTGGAAGGCATGATTAGCAAACTGGAACAAGTGCCAGTTCCAGAGCTCAGAAGATACACAATATTAACCAGGAAATACCACAAACCACAAAGCTTTGGCGTACCATTATACAGCAATTAAACTGCAATGCAAGAATCGTGCGACTATGGGTGTCCTGAGCAGTGCTGTGTTTTAGTGGGACCATAGGGAAAAAAAGTTTGTATTTCTGTGGTTTCTATACAAGAAAAAGAAAATTATATTATTTCAAATGGTTATAAAATGTATGTACTTTTCATCTCTTGATTTAAATTACCAGTATTAAAAGTGGGAGTTTGCAATAAGCTTGAAGTGTGCATTACACTGGGTAAAAAGAAAAGGGAGCATTCTTTATTAATGCAGTGATTCTGTCCATCTAAAGTTACTGCCTATTACAATCGGCCATTTTAGTCTCTGATTTCAGCTGAGAGCATTAATGTTTGTTCTGCAGTTTGCTGCTTCTTCTAAGCAGCATCCACATCGCAAATTGCTAACTATTCGGTGTCAAAATAAAATAATTGAGACCAGAGCAAAATTCCTCTTTTCCTGGCTTTTGTAACCCCAGCACCTTGGACGCAGACAGAACCCATGGCCGCAGTAGCAGCTGCCTTGTTCTGAACATGAGATGCTGATGTAACCTTGGTGTGAATCTCAGTTCACCTGTTTATTACCTTCAACAGCTGCTTCCCCACAAAGGAGTTTTTGTGGACCATCTTTCACAACATTCAGAATTAATTGCTTTCTTCGGTTTGTGTACTAGGATTTATTTAACTTTGAGCCACACATACACTGACGTAAAGCCACTGATACGTTTTCTTGTGGCAAATGGCTCTGACAACCAAGGGCAAGGTCTGGTCTCAGGGTTGTCCCACCGTGTTCATAGAGCATGTTTAACATTTTTTGTGGAGCTGGTCTAAAATTTTAATTTGGTGACTTGTTCTTCCGTCGATAGCAGAGTTAACGTTTTGCAAATCTGGAGCTTGTGGAACCGCAACACCAGACGACCACTTCTCCAGAGCACCAGAGGTTCCAAATTCCATGTGGACTTTACTTATGATGGCTGATGCAATTTAGGGAGTTAAATGGAAAACAGGTGTTAATTGAACACGCAAGATTTCAGTGGCTGTTTTGGGGCAATACAGTGGGCCTGTCCAAATCACTTAAAAAGCTTACGTTTAGGGTGGATTGTTTATTTTTTTCCAGCTACAACCAAACCGTGTGCAATATATATATACGCATATACGGCTCTTTGGAACAGTGAAAACCTGGTGAACTCAAAACAATTCTGAGAAAGATATGCTTGCTGGAAAAATGGATATGCAGAACAAACAAAAGACAAGGGACAATAGTTAGATTCAAAAATCATTATTTTAAAATAAAATCTAATAAAAAAATGCCATATTTACATCCCAAATGATGTGCCTGCATCAGTGAGCTATGTGGTGTTTCCTTGAACTATCTCCCAATCACTAACTTCTCTGTGTCCTCACCAGCTTGACTCAGTACATTCAATATCTGTATGAGAGGGAGAGAGCGCGGGACCCTGAGGTGTATCCCCAGAACAGAGAGGTAGAAGGCGGAGTTCAATGGCCTCATCCTCTCACCCCAGGAACATCTCGAGCCATTGCCTTATGAAGGTGACTGGCTGTACCACTACACTTCTTACCTTCTTTCATTCCTCACCTCTGCCCTTGCTCAGTGATGTCCTGGCTGGTAAACTACTACAGCTCAATCAGTGTCTGGTTGGGAAAACCAGGGCAACATTTCTGAAGTGACCCTTTTTTTGGCTAGAACCAAAACAATGGTCTGGGGAGCCACAGTTTAGGACAGAAGCAGACAGGGTTGACTCAATTCTGAGATTTCAAGCATGTCATCTTGGAGCCAGCTCAGCCCTAAGGAGCCCTGCTTACCATCCTTCCCCCCACCCAGAAAAAAAGAATATTCAAAATGAAACTATTCAAAAAGAAAAAGCAATTGATCTTGGTTTCTTGTCGAATAATCCCCCAGATTAATTTACTTCATAGCAGTTCGTAGGACTTTGCAATGTTCTCCCACAAATATAGTGACTACACTTAACAGTAATTACTGTAAAGTGTTTTGAGATTTCTCAAGGTTATGAGGCACTACGTGAAGATGGAAGGATTATTTATTGTTAAAGTCGAGAACTGTCAAACTGAAAGTCAGATCCTCCTATGACATAATGTTTCCTGACAGAGAGTAATGGGAGGAGGGGAGATTTGCTCTTTTGTGCAGTTCGGAGAGTACACAAAATCTACAGTAATTTCATTTTACAATATATTCTGTGAAGCGCTTTGAGAAGCCTCGAAGACGTGATAAGGTGCTGCGTCAAATGCAAGGATTATTATTATTACATATGCAATACAATCCCCTAGGAGACAGTAAATTGGGTGAAACATGCCTTTAGGATTTTTAAGTCTTTGGAAGGGATGTTAGCTTGATGGGTTGAATGACTTTCTTTTGTGCCCTGATTTATGATGATCACTTCCTAGAATCTCCCGTGTTATTGACAAAGACTTCGGAAATACAAATTTCTGAAAGCTTTGCAAAATCCAATGGTGATTTAGTCACTCCTGGGCTTGTTCTCGCTTGTCGTATTTCATATTTATGACTGTGGCATGACTGGAAATATTGCTCAATTATTGTCAAGTGGATAATCGATCATTTGGCAGTAATGCTACTTTCAACAATACTGTCTCTTCAACAAAGATGTCAACTGATGTCAGCCAGTGAATTCAACACAAAAGTCATTTAGCCTGTTATTAGAGTGCAGAGAACATTAGGTTCACAGGCAGCCTTGCATTTTCTGGTAGTTTAAGCCCAGTACACTGCTACCTCTGGACGATCCAGGTTTTATTACCGCCAGTGTCTTAAGTAAATATGTATGTTACCTTTGCTTTTCAGGTTTATGATGTGTTTTGCATTGCAAATTAAGTGAGTTATGAATCACGATGAGGCAATGTAATTAATGTTATTTAAATAAGGCTGCTTTTCTGCGCATGTTTCATGAGTCTATTTAAGATTGCAGAACTGCACTGTTCTGAAATGACCTTTCAGAAACAAATACGATGACGTATTTAGTGGAGAGAGGAAAAGGAATGTTTCAGATAAGCCATTATTATTATTATTATCAACAAGAATATATTAATGAAGGCAAGACCCAAAGGATAAAAGATGCGACAGAAAAATTCCAAGAACTGTAAGGGGCTTGCTCCTTACCATGTGGTCAGCAAAGGTTATGGAATGGGGCCAAGTTATATTAAGGATCAAATGATAGGAGCCAGATAAAAGTAGCAAAGATAAAACACAGCAAGTCAATCCAGTTGCATACAAAGAATATGAGTGTGAATACCCGACCACACTTACAGTCACAGTCCCACTGTACAACAACAACTTGCAGTTATATAGTGCCCTTCACGCAGGGTAGCGTGGAGTCCTGTAGCTCAGTGGTTAGAGCACTCGCTTTGCAAGCGAGAGACCAGGCAGGGCGAAACCTTGGGCAAGTTTCCTTACTCCACACGCCTAATAATAATCCCTCCAAAAAAACAAAACAATAATAAATTGGTCATTTTCAATCCATGACTGTTTGTGGGACACTGCTGTGCGCAATTGGCTGCCGCGTTCGCCCACAAATATACAGTCAATTCACTTTACAGTGTGTTCTGTGAAGCGTTTTGGGATGTCCTCCCGACGTGAAAAGCGCTATATCAAATGCAAGGATTATTATTATTATTATTATTAGCGCTCCTGAGTGCTTAATGAATTGAAGAGTTGTTCAACTAAACAATCCCAGCTCTGGCAACCTTAAGGAGCCCCTTCTTACTGAAGTGTCAGCAAATAATAATAATCCTTGCATGTGATATAGTGCCTTATCATGTCGTTGAGACATCTCAAAGCACCTCACAGAATATACTGTATATTTTGTGAGCGATGGATTAAGGTTGAATTAGCTCTGAGACAAGCATGGCAAAGCCAATCAAGTCCACAGTGATCCATGGCATTGTTGTTCCATTCATATACTACTTTTCACACTGGCTAACATTTCAAAGCACTTCATAGACACAGTGATAGACACCAAACAGGCAGGTTGGAGGAGGCGTCAGGTAACTGCAATCCAGGTTGTAAAGGTAGGTCTTCAAGAGACTTTAAAAACGCATAGAGAGAAGGTGAGGTGGAGGGAATTGGGGAGGAGGAACAGAGGTTAGGTGATAGTGTCTAAAAGCATGTATGCTGATGGTACAAGCAATTCATTGAAGCCCTGAGTTTGCCGAGTGGAGGAGGGGAGCAACTGAGAGAGGCTGAGAAGGTCACAGAGGTCGGGAGGGCTGAGGGTGAGGATCTGGAGGGATGAGATAGGAGTGAGATATTTGTGGTCGATAAGGAGTGAGGCAGATATATGTGATCTGTGAATCTACATTTTTATTCATTGAGAGACATTAGCATATAGTAGGAGGTTTCAAAGCCACCTGAGCTAGTTGCTTTGCAAATAAATCAGGTTTGCCAGCTCTGCATACTTAAATCATTGGAAATGATAAATGGGGAGAGATGTTAAAATTAAATGACTTTATATCCAATCTCCTGTGCTGGCTTGGTAATGGGTGGGGAAACCTGTTTCTACGGCAACTGCAGTGGGGCTTGGGAGTTGCTCTTCTTTGAGAGGCTTATCACATTTATTTTACTGTGGAAATGGACACTCCCTTTTTTCCATCAGGGTGGTTTGATATTCAAACAATGCAGTATTTTGGTTTCAAAACACATTTTTAGTTTTCTGTCTCTCCCAGGATACCTTTGGAGTTACTTTATTTCCTGTTGACTGGCCTGACTGAAAATAGTGGTCATTAGTGATTCATAGAAATCCTATTCTATCATCACTGTTGCCTAATTGAGTTGTGTAAGAAGCTGCTGCCTTCTCTTGATTACTTACATTCCCATCTACACATATGCCATTTTATATCACAAATGACTAGACCCTGTCAGGAGCTGTACTCAGCTGATATTTTTCTCCGTAATGATGTTAATTCCTATTCATCTAATCGTTGTCTTGGGTGAGATCAGCCAAATCAATACAGGCAACTAATTAAATTCAGATTAATCCGCATCTGTATTATGAGGGTGACACAATGCAGTGAAGTGTATTGCCAGACATACTGTCCTGTATATGAGATGTTCAACCAAGATCCCATCTGCCTGTTCAGGTGGATGTAAAAGACCCCAAGTTAATTTTTGAAAAGAGAAGAGAGTTTCTCCTGGTGTCCTGGCCAACAAACCCCTGCAAATAAAGTAGGTCACTCACTTCATGGCTGTTTGTGGGACATTGTTGTGTGCGTATCTGCATATTGATCATCATGTTTGCCCACAAAATACACAATCATTATATT